TCGCAAGTTAACACATCCCTGTGAAATGGCTATCCTTTTGAATGCCTCTAGTGTGCCTATGACCTCCCTTGATAATTGGCTCCATTGCCATATTGAAGAAAATTGCTTCCTCGAGAAGAATGAGCACTTTGGCTCCTAAAGCTCTATAAAACTTTTCAGTAACCAGCTATACATTAAGATACATTTCTAAAATATTAATCCCTTTTCAATGTAGGGTTAGGGGTTGCTCTCAGCTTAACACAAAGGATGCTTGTGAGGACAAAATAGCAGAGTAAGGGGAATATGCTAGCCTTCCCAATCTGATGCTCTCTCTAGATTCGAGTTTCTGAACAGCCTATCATTCCTTTCTTTGGAGGAAGGTTGGGACAAAAATGTAAAGAGTGGCTGGATAAATACATTATCATTTTCTGAACTTTAAATGCTGCTTTCATCAAATCAAGTTATTTAATGTTAGACTGTTCCATTTCCTTTCACTTACCCTCAGGGCAAGGTTATTAAACCCCACAACTCCACTAGGGTAACTCCACAGCATGTTTGCCTTTTCAAGTTTTTAAAGTTTTAACATATAGTCTTGTAGCATTATAGAAGGTATCCATAATTTTGACACACAAGTCAGCTCAACTTTCACTAGAAAACTGGAGCTTTATTGTTCTCATGTATTCTACAGATTGCAGAAGCATTAGATTTAGATGGCTCTAAATCTTCATCCATATATTGCAAACAATAATTAATCTGTTATTTTCTGGTTCTATAAGATGAGAACTAATTTCATTCAAAAGAATATTCGGATATCTTCAAATTCTTTAAAATGAAGGCTGAGCTACACTAATTTATATAGTTGATTTTAAAGCTGCTATCAGTACTTCTTACAGAAGATTACAAATTTGTCTTGATCCCTAGCTGCAGTTAGATAACACAGGATTTTTGTTCTGTTATGGAAAAAAAAAACCACTAACTGCACAGAAAGAGTTTTGTTTTCTAGCTGTCCTCCAATGCTTCTCTGAGCTCTGACATCCAGAAAAAAAGGAGGGCAAACACTCAGAATAGCCATTCTTCAAGAACTGAAGAACGGAGGGACATGCACACCGCTACCTTTCAGCATTAACAAAGTCACATGCCCTGTTGAAAAGGACTAAAAAGTTTTTATGTGAATTAAGTCTGTGTACTGATGGTGCTCCACAAAGATTAATTTACAGAATAGTTACATGATGGGAAGGGGAAGCACAATTATATTCAAGTAGTTGATATTAACTTCCAAACATTTAAGCTGGTTCAGGGCCCTGTGGTACTTCACTACTAGGCTGTTCACAAGCAGCATTGGCATTTAGTAGCACATCATTAAATAATTTACAATTTGCAGGACTGCACACTGCATGCAAGCTGCTTCCACTCTGCAGCAACAACCCAGAAATACTACATCCATAGGTTAATCTGATGTCTGAACCAAAACGCTAATTTGTGGGTTAAACAACCCAAAGTTGGGAACAAATCATAGGTTAACTCTGAGGTGTTTAATCTCTGAACAGGTTGGTGACTAAGGGAAGACAGGATGATGCTGGACTAAGCATGGAAGTGGTGTCTTGCAGTCAGATCCCCACCTTCTATCAGCCACCTACCTCAGAGGGCTCCTGCAAGAATACAATGGGATGGGACAGACCTACACAGTGACTTCAGCTCCACAGAGGATGGAACTTAGTGGTTCAGACCAATAAAATCCATGGTCATTCAAGAAAGCTAAATGACAGGAGATTCAGAGCACACAGAAGGTACTTTCTCACTCAGTACACAAATAAATTGTGGAAGTTAATATAACAATATTTATTACATGTATATTCCAACATTTTTCCATCATGGAACCTCAAAAGGTTATATGCAGTTCCCAACAGATCTATTCTCCAAGAACTGACCAGACCAAACCTGCTTAGCTTCAGCAAGGTGGCTGCCTCATGTGCCTTCAGACCATACTGCTTCCATCTTAGACAGCTTTAAAGCACATTTATGGAAGATAATACATTAGCTCATCATTGTTGTTATATGCTATTTCTAGAACCATAAGCACCATGCCTCTGAATACCAGTTGCTGGCAATGCAGAATATTGCCCTTTGGTCTTGTGAGTTTTCCATGGGCAGCTGTTAGTCCACTGTGAGGACTGGTAAGCCTTTGGTCTCATTCTCCTGAGCTCTCCTTACTTCTTTAAGACTGGGGACTAGAGTTCTCTCCTTATTTCAGTAGTGCCTTCAAGTACACCTCTTTATTTTCTGTCACATAGCTAGACAATTGCTATTCTGTGTACCTCCAGGGGTGGGGCAGGGCATAGTTGCAATAAGAGCAAAAGCAATTCTGACACAAGATGACTTGATCCATGATCTATGCAGCATACAAAGGCTCTGCACACACTCATAATCTCATTAGCATTGAACCCCAACTTTTTTGAAGTTTATCCATCTGCCACAATTTTGAGGGCTCCTTTCCACTGATCAGCATGTGGGTATGTATACTCATGTTTCTTTAACAGTATGTCCTCCAGAAAGCTTTTACATGAGAATCCATGGGTGCTGTTAACAGTAGGATAAGAAAGCACAGAGAGAAGCTCTGTATGGATTTTTTTTTCTTCTCCCAAGCTAGACTCAGGGAGAAGTTCCTGTAGTCCCACTGTAAATTAAAATCAAATCAAGAGCTAATAAAGGGTTGGGAAATATTTTAAATACCTGGGTAGTAGAATCACATTTAAGATGTTGTCCAGAGCTAGGAAAAACACAAATTTCTAGGCAGTATCACCACATTTTTTAAGTGCCTAAATGACCAGGTGCCTGGGAACTTTCAAACATTAGATAAATCTGGATTTCTTGTGATAGGAGAAAGTTACCAATTTAGGCTATATAAATCATGGTAGAATTTTCCAGCTCTTAAAATCAACTATCCTTGAAAAGCCAAAACTTGCCAGTCACTTACTACCCACATGGGAAAGCCTTTAAGGAGCATTCAGAAACAAAGTAAACCATCTTGTTTGCTTCATTGCTAATTAAATGTTTCAACTGAAGGTATCTTCCTTTATTGACAGATTGCCCACTACTAATCTATCAGGCCAAAGAAATCAGGAATAAAAGCTCCTCTCACTACCATTCCTTTATTTTCATTTTTATTGCACAGTCTAAGCAGAAAACACAACTTACTCCTGAGTAAGCGTCTCTAGGATCAAGCCAATCAGTTCAACGAAACTGGCTCCCTAATAAATTTCTTTAAAGAACCTTAACAAGATTTCAGGAAGTGGATTTCCTTTGTTAACCTCTAAACAGAACAGAGGTTTTGGATATGACAGGAAATCAAAGCCCAATAATTAAATCCCCTAACGCCAGCCACTGAATTTTGGAATAGTTCATTTCCTGATAGCTCTTAGGGAATTACCAGACTTTACATGGAAACCTTTATTTCCTCAGTTTGACACTTGAAAAGTTAAATGTTTCATTGTCTTTTCCTTCCACAATACAAAAGCAATGAAAGTACCAGGGTGTATTGCTGTTGCAAACATACCCACCAGGCTTGCTTCCCATGGAAGAAAATCCTTCCGTTTTATCAGCACCTCCAGAATTACTGCTGAATCTATACAGCCATTTCTTCACATGCCCATCCCATGGTCAATGCTGGTGTTACTGAACCAAGTTCTGTAGCATAGCTAGAGAATCTGCTCATGAACAGAAGACTAGGGTTGTTCTTACACTTTGGTTACCCTAACATCAACAAGCTTTCCCTGTAGGATGTTTTAAAATTCCCAAGGACTGACCATTGGGCTACACATAAGGCATTATTAGGAGCAACTAAGAAACAGGAGAGGTAACTAGATAGAAAAAGGAAAAAACAATCAGGTGGGAGAGACCTTGATGACATTTCTATGCATGCTTACTTGGGAGCAAGCCCCACTAAAAGTGCAGCAAGCCTTCTAATACCAGCCATATCCATGCTTATTTTGGCAGACAGTAGGTTTACTGAACCTACCTTCAAGAAATATTTATCCCCACTGATAGACATGCTTGCTGCAGCCTTGTAAGTTATCCATCTGAATGTTTCCCTTTGTATGAACAACTAAATACAATGAACAAATGGGAGATACTTGGGCTGCAGCCCTAAACAGATTAGGCCTGACTCAGACTCCGCATTAGCTTCTCCAAAATGGCTCAACAGATTGGAAAACTACAGGCACTGCTCTATAAAGCCAAGTCCAAGATCAGGATATGGAAAGAGGCTCATCCCCAAAACGCAACAGGAATTTAGGTTTGGCAAGGATCAGTGACAGAAAGGTGACCAGACTGATAACTGACAGAAAAGCGACCAAATCGCTCTTACATCAAATCATGCCAGAAACAACAGAGAAAAGTGTTCCCTTCTCTCTCCCCACTACCCATGCAATGGGAGCACCAAGAAAAATATACGAGGGCACACAGAAATACATTCTATGAGTAGGTGAGCAGTACAACCGAGGGGACCAGCAATGGAGAAAGCCAAACTAGTGGGGGGGGATCCCCTGCCGCCCCCACCCCCCACCGGCGCCTCCTAAACTTCCGGCAAAGTCGCCATAGCCAGGCCGTTGGCGGCGCAGGCTGGGAGGGCCAGAAAAGCGAAGCCAGTCCGGGTTCGACTGGGGCTCCCAAGTCCCTGGTCCTATGCCCCGGTCGGCCGTGAAGCTCACTTCGGGCTGGCCCCAGCGTCTCAGCCAACCCTACCTCGCAGGGTTGTTGTGAGCACAAAATGAGAGGAGCCTAACGGCCCATCCTGGGCTGCGTGCAGTAAAAAAGGGGGGCTATCAGCATAAGGTTAATCAAAATCACCGTCTGGAGCACCGCGTTGGAGAAGGCCGGCGGCTGGCGGCGCAGGCCCACCCCAGGCAGGACGCGAGGGATCCGAGCGAGGGGGGCGCCGCGGCGGGCGTTCCTGCCAGCCCCCCGAGAAAGACCGCGAGGGCCCACCCGCAGGAGAGAGCCGCCGCGCCGGCGCGGGCACTTACCCGTCTCCCACCACCACACACTTGATGGCCTGCATCGGGGCAGCTGCTGCGTCGCCGGCTCCTGAGGCTCTCCGGGCTGGGCGCCGAGGAATCCGCGAAGCTTCGTGGCGGGTGGCGTGCGGCGAGCGCAGGAGCAGAAGGCGCGAGGCGAAAGTCCCGCCGCCGCCGCCGCCTTTCCTTTCCCTTCCCTTCCCTTTTCCGAAGGGACGGAGCTGGGCGCAGTCAGTCCCCGGAGAGCGGCTGGGGGAGCGCTGAGGTAACGGCCACCACCCAAAACGCGGGGCGGTCGAGCGAGGCTGCGAGGAAACAGGAAGCGGCCGCTCCGCTCATATCCGGCCGCGCGCTCCCTCACGCCTGGGCCCGCCTTCGGGATTTCTTTCGGCCTAGCCTGGCCTAACTCCCGAGCCTGGCGAAGTGGGAAACGGAGAGGGGGCGGGGAAGGCGCCGCGCTTCGGAAGCCTTCGGCTCCGCTTCGCTCAAGCTCCGCCCCCTGCCCAAACGAAGAGGCTCGGCCCCTTTCGGATCCGTTTGCCCCGCCCAGCCAAGCTCGGCCAGCCCTCGGAACCGCTCGGCTGCCTCCCTCCCCTTTTTTCTTTCGCTCCGTCCAAAGCGAAGAAGGCTTTCGGAAATGTTCGGAGCGCGTCGGGGCTACGTTGCGTGAAGGAGAGGCGAAGGGAGGGGGGTCCGGGCGGGAATCCCCTCGCCCGGCATTCGGTTCTTCGGGAATGTTCGGAAATCCTCGAGCCGCCTCCTTTGCCAGTGTTTGCCTTTCTCTTCCCGCCATTGTTCTTCTCGGACGTTTTCGCGCTCGACCGGTTCGGACTCTGGCAGGGGTCGCCATCTTTGTGCTATTAACCTAGTTGGAAGTTTTGAGGGAATACCATGAGCTTCGGTTTTCGCTTCCACTGTGTCAGGAGCACTTTCTCCCCAGTCCTGTCAAAACGACAGCCATATATTCCATTATTGGCTAATATTTTAATTCTCTATATAAGTTAATAAAGAGGTTGCCTTCCGTACGCAGGAGAACATATACATCCATGTATTCTCGAAATCTATTACAAATAATGTCCAATTAAAAAAAGTCAAGTGCTTAATGTTCAAACCCCCAAAGTCCCACAATGCCCAGCATTCCTAGGCCAGCATGGCTGCTTTGGGCATTCTGGGAATTTCAGGCCTCTTCTGTCCAAAGGTGCACAGGACCGATAAATTCTGTCATCTCCATTATACATTGGGTTGGCAACTTGTGATATCTTGACAAGAATTGCACCCTGAACAGTATGAGAAGGTAAAAATGGAACAGAGTAAATGTGGGATACAGTGCTTTAAGGCACAACGCTATGCACAGACCTCTCAGTGGCTTTTGATACCATCAACCATGATATCCTCCTGGTTAGCTGGGCTGGGAGTTGGTGCCACCACCTTGCAGTGGCTCTGCTCCTACCTGGCTGACCATCCCCAGGTGTGGAGTTGATGTTGCTCTGTGCCATGGCACCTGTGTCCTGGAGTCCCACGGGGATCTAGTCTGTCCTCCCTGCTATTTAACATCTACATGATGTTAAAGTTTTGTTTTAAGAGGTCAATCCAGAGATTGTTTTTGTTTTGTTTTGAGAGGTCAATCCAGAGATTTGGGCTGAAATTTCACCAGTGTGCTCATGGCATCCAGCTCTACTTCCAGTGTGCTGGTTTTATTCTTGTTTATATTATCATCCTGTTTCAGCTGCATTTTATGTATTTTATTTATTTATTTTTAAAAACATTTTTATGCCGCCCCATTCGCCGAAGCCTCGGGGCGGCTCACATCATTAAGTTAAAATAATTATAATATAAATTAAAATAAATATAAAATTAAAATACAGCAGTACAGTATAAAATAAGCCGCCCTGGCCAGATAAAACCAATAATGTTAACAGTTAAAATGCCGCTTGAATAAAAAGGTCTTCGCCTGGCGCCGAAAAACAATTAACTTTAGATGTTAAAGTTTTGTTTTACTGTAGCTATGTTGTTGTTTCCATTTCTGGTGAGCCACGCAGAGAGCTCCCAGGTTATGGAGCAGCATACAAATACAATAAATAAATGAAATAGAAAAAATTCCAGCATCCTTCAATGAACGTGATACAGAGAATTTAGGATGTGGGAATTTTTTCAGTTCTGAAACTATTTGAAACTGAGGTGTATTTTTGGAGGCGATGATATGGCACAGATGTCTGTTCTTCAAAGAAAAATGTAAAAAGCCAGATTACATAAGAACAAAAAACCGAAAACAAAAAGAGCGACTGTTCAACGATAAAATATTATTTTTTAAAATAGCGATTAAAAGGTTTAACCAGGCACCAAAAAGAATATAAACTCGTCACCAGGCGCACCTCTCCAGACAGCGCATTGCATAATCATAGTATATGAAGCTATGAAACATCTTTTCACTGCTCACTTTCTGGTGGGCAGCAAAAATGTGGTTATTCCAACACTTTTCAGATACATGTGTGGATTTCAAACTTGAACTGCATGATTACCATGGCTAATCATTACTTATTTTAGTCATAACAATCCATGGCTTCTCGCTTTGGGGAAATTTGTGTAGTGCATTTTTTATTCCCTTTTCCACCCCTCTGTGGCAAGTGGAAAAGAACTCATAGACCTTGCCTATTGAAAAGAACCTCTTGACGTCTGTTTTCTATTAATGTTTTACTTCAGAAGTTAGGGTGGTAACCCAAGTACAGCCAGCAATTGCGTAAATGATACTGAATTGTTCTCTTCTCCTTGATTAAAAATCCCCCCTCACTTAGGATCTCATTGTGATGCCTTACTATCCATTTATAAATCTGATCAGAGTTCCTTTTCTCATTTCAGACTTATCTGAAAGGCAAGCAAACAGTTCTTTCTTTATATATAAAGAGGAAGTGCATTTAAAAACAAAGCTTCAGAAGTTGTGTATGGAGGTTTTTATGTGTATCTTGGCAGGAGGGCAGCAGTATTACTGCACATGGGTGTGGACTGCCAGAATAATCTTGCTGATGTAATACTGGAAAATTTGACACACCAGGAATATGAGAGTTTGTTTTGTAACATCTCTTTTCAGGGAACGATTTTTTTATTATTAAATGTATCTATTCAGAAGAACGCCTAATTGACATCAATGGGAAGTACACCCAGGTAGGTGTCTCTGTATATGATTTCAGACCTGGGCTGCTGACAGATGGCCACTGAGTGCTGTCTAGATGGTTAATGGATAGGTTGAAGTCCGAGCTCAGGCCTGGGAAATTCATTCCGAGTTCGAAGATGAGACTTCATCCATGCGGCACTTTCCTTCTGTTCTTGCAGCTGTCAGTTCTTTAGGTTCCAGAACGGGAGTGTTCTGAAGGAGAGAGGACTGAGGATGCACCAGGATGCAAAGCAACTTGTTGGGTCTTCCGTCTCTCTTCCTCACAAGCAGGGGCAAAAGACACGGACCACTGGAATTGGCCACTGATGTCTTTGGCATCTTCTGCGCTGGACTGAATGGCCATAGTCCTCTGAGTTCAGAGGGTTATGGAGAGTTCCACTGATGGGACCCTAAATGCGATCCATATTCACCATCCAGACCTGGTTGCCCTGCATGTGTGCTGTAACACGTATCACATACTTTTTCCTCTTCTTGAAACTCCAATCCATACTTCCCTACCAGATATTTGAGGCAAGAAACAGATCAACTAAGGTTGTTGAGAGACTGAAGTTGGGAAGACTTTATCCCAAGCCCTGCTGGGCAAGAGCAAGACAGGACAGGAGAAACAATCGCGGACAGCTTGCCTTCCATTTCTCCTTAACATGGAAAAAATCAGCCTCCAAGCCTGTCCAGGTGATTTACCAGCAGTGGGGGAGAGACAGAGAAGCAGCAGAATCCTGCCAAACCTGACCTTCCCTCCCTTCCAACCCTCAATTTCCCCTCCCTTATTTCCCCTGAGGAATAGTCATGTCAGTGTTTTCTCTGGCAATTGCATGAAGTTAGGGAAGGGCTTATATTCCTGGCCTCATATTCCTCATATCCCAAAGTTACAGAAGTGTTTATGACCTCAGGAGGGGGGATCCAACATATCCTAGGGTCTTGAAGATGCTTTCCTAGAGCTCATGATTAAAAGATGCTTTCCTAGAGCTCAGGGCCAATAAACTGAAGCTCAATCCAGACAAGATGGAGGTCCTGTTGGTTGGCGGATCGGGCTTCGGGGAAGGTGAATGGACCCTAGTCCTGAATGGGGTTGCACTCCCTCTTAGGGACAAGGTCCGCAGCTTGGGAGTGCTCCTTGACCCAGAGCTTTCACTGGAAGCTCAGGTAACAGCGGTGGCGAGGAGCGCTTTCGTTCAGCTTCGGCTGATCCATCAGCTGCGCCCCTACCTGGAGAACTTGGGTCCTGGTTACCTGAAGGAGCACTTACGTCCATATATGCCTGCCCGCCCCTTGAGATCGGCGGGAGAGGCCCTTCTCCGGGAACCCTCCGTGAAGGAAATTAGGATGGTAAGTACTCGGAGGAGGGCTTTCTCTGCGGTGGTGCCCAATCTATGGAATGCGCTCCCCAGAGAGGTTCGCCTGGCGCCGTCGTTATTTGTTTTTCGGCGCCAGGCAAAGACCTTTTTATTCAAACGTTATTTTAATTGTTAATATTATTTATTTCTTTTATTCTTTGGCCAGGGCGACTTAATTTATATTGTTAATTTATATTGTTTTATTGGATTCTATTTATTTATGGTTGTGAGCCGCCCCGAGGCTTCGGCGAATGGGGCGGCATAGAAGTCCCCTAAATAAATAAAAAAATAAAAAAAATGATTATGTGAATTGTTACTTGGTTTTAATAGATTGTTTAGTTCATCAAGGGTGCAATCCTACAGAAATTTGCATGGGAGTAAGCTCCATTGCATCTGAGTTGATGTGTATAGGATTGCGTGGTGACTTTCTTCAGCCTTTGTTATAGCAGTGATGCCATGAAGTGCCTTTTCAGAGTCTATTTCTGCTTCCTCTCCAGTGGGCAGTGAAAATGTGGGTGTGCTAACATTTTCCAGACACATATATGCAAATTTGAAACTTGGAGTGTACAATTACCATGGTTAGTCATTGCTTATTTAAATTACTGTGGCCAATGTCTTCCATGGGTGCTACTCTAGATATACAGCATGTTATGTCATTCAATCCCTCGGTCCATGGATTACATGAGTGTTCACCGACTCTCACAGAATGGTTTGTTTTAGGGGTTTGTTTTAGGGGTTATCCAAGGGTTATTTAACCAGAGTTCAGAAAACACAACAAGCTGTGGCTATAGTTTTAATATTCAAAATGTCACAGTACACTATGGCTTAAATTAACCAGGATGGATTGTTTGATTGTATGAACCAACCCAGGGGATTTAATAAAATTACTCCAAAGTAAGCAATTGTATAATATTGTAGCTGAATAGAGCAATCCTTTACTCAGATGGGTCTAGATAATTTCTTTGTAGATTATATAATTCCTTCTAAAAGCAAACTCGAGTAATGAGTGCTACGTGATTGCAGCCAAGATGGAGCCACGGAGAAACATGAGGAAGGCATCAGCATGTTCAGGCAGGAATACAACAAACTTTGGGGTGTGGAGGGAGAATCCTTGGAGGGCAACCCTCCTGAAAAAGTAATCAATTGAAGACTGAGAATGTTCAGGATCCATGGAGTATAGAATGATAGTTGGCGGGGGGGGGGGGGAGCAGAGCATGGTAGAAAAGGGAGAGGAGAAACGGAATGCATGTCTGGAATTCCGAACAGGAATGAAGACAAAGTGAAACATCTTATTGCAGTTCCCACTGATCTAATCTAGAAAACAAGCATGTTTGTTATTACTACAAGTTCAAACACGGCCACTCCACCCTTCTGCTAGCTCTGACTATGCTTCTGTCTGCCCAGTTTGGAGCTCTGCAGCTGGAAATGCGGCTCGACCCCCTGCAGAGCATCCCAAGGTAAAATGCTTTGTACATGTATGGTATCTTGTTAAAAAATAACTGTTTTTAGATTGTGGTTATTTATTATTGTGAGCCGCCCCGAGGCTTCGGCGAATGGGGCAGCACAGAAGCGTCCTAAATAAATAAATAAATAATGCTCTTAATGTCCTCATCTGGAAGACATAGCTCTTTTCAGAAGCTCTTTGAAAGCCTTATGGTGCTTGTAAATTCGAGTGTGTCTACTGTGGAAATTTAGTCAGGAGGCCCAAGTTCAGATTCCTTTCTTGCTTTGCCCCAGCCTTTACAAGATGACAGTAATTAACAGGGCAAAACTTAGCTAATGAGCTATTCCTTTCAAATATGGTTAATCATAGCCCGGTTTTATTACTCAGAGGGCTTCAGAGGAACTTAACTTCCAGTTTTGTCCTCAGGGCTGATGTCATGGTTATATATGGTTGGGTTCCTCCCAAGGTACAGCACCCCAGTAGGGGGCCCAGGAGTTGTTCTCCTCTTCAGCTTTTCCACCTGCTTCTTTACTGCCTCTTGCTCTGGTCCAGACAACAGAGGTGGTGGTGGTGGTGGTGGTGAGTTAGACGAGATCCCACTGCCTGCTTGCTTCCTGGCATGCTGTCAATTCCAACAAGGAATTGAGGAGAAAGGAGGGAAAACAACATCAACTGCTAACAATGGCACTGAGGCGACCCTCTAACAGAAGGAAGGGACTGAATGAAGGTGCCTTGCCCACAGTTGCTAGTCCTCTTGATTTATAGACTAAGGAATCTCCTACTTAACACCAGGTCCAGAAATGTTTTCTGATCTTCTCTTTGGCCCGGATATTGTCCCTAAGAGGACATCGAGTTAACACTTGCAGCGATTTAAAAACATTACTTTACTTTAAAAAATCCTTTAAAACAACCATAAACTTGAAAGAACAATTCATGCAATCCTATTGTATGTCTCTGAAGAGCTGAGCCCACCGATTTTCAGTGACACTTATTCCCGAGGAAGTGCGCATAGGACTGCAGTCTTTACCACTTTTCAAACAGCATAAAAACAACCCCCTGCCAGATCCCCTGCTGCTTGGAACACCTTGACACTCCTATGAGCCTTTTCCAAGCTGATGCGTTTCCCGGAATGGGCTGGACGGCAGCTCCCGTTACACTCAGCCGGACCGTTATTCTCCTTCAGGTAGGTCAGACCCATGATTAGCAGCTCCCACCTAGTGCTTTCCTCCAAAGGTATCGGACTGCTACCTCCATCATCCCCAGCCAGGCTGGGGAAACGCTGCGAGGAGCAGCTTGCACACTCCACGGCGCCAGGGAGCGGCCGCGGCGGGCGAACACGGAAAGTGCGCGTCATGACGCAGCGCGCGCTGACGTCAGCAGCGGGCCTAGTTCCCTCCCGCGTAGCGCGGCGCCCTTCCTTTCCGCCTGGCTTCCGCCGCGGCTACATCCGGGCCCTTCCGGGCGGAGCTTCTCAGGCCTGGCTTGGCAGGTGGGCGCACGCCGGGCGTTTATGGCGGCGGCCGCGCTGCTGTCCGCCCTGGCTGCCAGGCTCTCGCAATCGGCGGCCGCCCGCTCGTACGGGCTCTTCTGCAAGGGGCTGACCCGCACGCTGCTCATCTTCTTCGACTTGGCCTGGAAGCTGCGCATCAACTTCCCCTACCTGTACATCGTGGCGTCCATGATGCTCAACGTCAGGCTACAGGTGACCTTTCCTGAGGGGGCGAGCGGGGCGGGTTTCCCTCGAGGACGCCCGCCAAGGGGTCGCTGTGCTCCACGCTGGCAGGGGATTGTAGGGGTCAAGTGGTAGGGGATTCTGTTTTTTAAGAAAATGGACAGGAAAATAGGTAAAAATCGCTGGTCTGTGCTAGGCACAGACACACCGAACCTTACGCCCGAACCAGGTCGTGCCTTGCGTTTGGAAGGACGGCAGCATATTAAAGCATGGTAAAAAGATACAACATATGCACTTTTTGTCTATTGTACGTATAGATGTTGCATAAGTTTAATCACTCTGTTGTCAGTCTATTTTATATTTTATATAGATAGTTAAAATTAAAAAGTATATGCAAAATATCCAATATACATATATTTAAGATATAGACATCAGAGTCAATTGCACACAAATGTTTCTTGGGGCATTCAGAAACCTTCAGATTAAAAAGGTGGGCACAAACATTCTTGCATGCCTTACCAGTTTCCTAAATAGAGAGCCTCTGGCTGGGGGCGGGGGGGGGGCATACAGATGTAACAAAATAAATAAGTCATTGCTCAGGTTACTAACAGTTGGCCACGACTTTGCTAAAATTGCTGAAAGGGGGGCATGGATTAATATGCATTTGAATATTTGAGTGAAAAGACTAAGTAAACTGAAGAACTGGGCAAGAAACTTAAAGTATGCAAGTATGTAGAACAGTGACACAGGTGTAGCTTGGATTTGGACAGAATTCTGTGCTGCTTCACGCCTGAGCCTTTAGAAGTTGTGTGTACAATAATGCTTGAAAATGCAAGCAAAGGCTCACACAATTAATCTTTATGATATGTATTACAATAGGTGGTGTATCATAGTATCAGTTCTGTTAGCATCTTCAGAGACAGAAAATGGATCAAATAGTGTTCTTTTTGGGAGGGGAGTTGTCACCCTTTTTTGTAGGAGATGTGCAATGGAGCTTCAGAGTAATATAATGCAAAACGGATCACAAAAGATCATTCACTATTCGTAATAGCCATTCTGGTTGTCTATTTCAAGGAAGATAAGAGAGAAAGTGGGACCATTCCGCCAACCCTAGTGAAAAACTAACTTGTTCCATTCTCCTCCCCCACACTTTTCCTTGTGGGTCAAAAAACAACTGTAAGCCTGCAGATACCTGCTTTGTTTTGTTTTACTTACTGGATGTAAACTGCTCCAGCAGGCTTTTTTTCTAAGGAGCAGGATAAAAATACTACAAATAAATAATTAAATAGCCGTATTCAAAAATAGATCATGAATCACGGTAGACACCTTGTACATATGTGGCAGTGCTTTGCAAAACAACACAACCCTGTGTTTTTTCATCCCACTCCTAACTAGAGTTTGGTTTGGGCACATGCTGCAGCGTGATCTCTGCAGAGCTCGTAACCAACCCAGGTAAATGTAGATTCTGGGAATGATGCATGATGTGAACCATGCGATTATGCTCTGCACTTAGAAAAATACTACTCTTACCTGGTATAAGGTACCTTCTTCTGTTTTGTAAATCTTCCCAGTGCTCTCCGAGTTTTCCTATTTGGCCATCTTACAAATGTTTTGCAGTTTGTTGTTGGCAAGACTTTGAGTTATTTTCAGTGTTCGGTTGTTGTTCACCCTTGGCCTTGATTGTAATAGATTGGAATCTTCAGGGTCAGAGCTCTTAAAATCTTCCTAAATATCTAGCTATTTCTCTTTGCTATGTATTAGGATAAGTTAGCACATAGGAGCTTAGCTTGGTACCTTTGATAAGCATGTCAAGGGACTGAACACCCAAAATGCTTTGTATGACACTTTTGTATCATATCCCACAGTGTGCTCAACACAGCAGTACCCAAAATTCTCAGTGATTAGGCAGTATATGATGCAGTGCTTTTCAAAATGGTTTGCTGTAACAAAGCAAACACAAAGGGGTGTGATTTGGATAGGAATCAGTTTGGTAAAATGTGGGCTTGGAGAAGATGGTTTAGACTGTTTGCAGAAATGGCTGAGAAGAAATTGAACTCCCAAGGCACTTATCCCTGGACATCATCTGAAGGCGTCTGGTTGGTCAATCTTACAGTGTATTTATTTTTATATATATGCTGTGGGCTTATATGAACCTCTTCCTCTACATTTAACCCCCACAGTATCCTGAGATAAGTTAGAGATGACTCAAAAGTCACCTATGGCACCAAGTGGAGATTGGAACCTGGGTCTTCCAGCATTCTAACCACCACACTGGCTTGAGTTCAAAAAGATCTACATCTGATTAGTGCCTGGACGGTAGACTTATGCAAGAACCCCTGAGTTCTGTGGGAATAAGGCAAAATATAAATGTAATTATTATTGTCATTTGAGTATTAGGTGACATAAAACATTTGCCATCTATCCTTCATTTAAAATTGTGTACTCTTTATCCATGTGTTTGGTATGGCATGAATGAATTGGCCTTCCAGCTCAGAAATAGTTTGTTGCTAATTAATGCTTGTACATAAAATATGACATTCCACTTTGGGATTCCCCTGTTATATTGCGGAGCTGGAATGCCTATGGTCTCTTAAGGATGCTCTCTATTTTTCTGCTGCTTAGGAGAGAACAAACTGTTCTTTGGTTGACTTGTGGAAAGTGTTCTTTCAGATAGCTGCTTCATCATATTACATTTCTATACTGCTCATAGCCAAAGCTCTCTGGGTATTTCACAACATTTAAGTCACACATTCAAATTTCAACCAGGCCCAACCAAGATTAAGCAGGATCAGGCACTTTGGGCTATATGGAAGCTCAGTTATTATCTCAGTAGAAACTTGATCTTAAAAAATCTTGAAAGTGCTCCAGTTTGCATTTAATATCTTTGAAAATAATGATGCTCTGTCTAGAATAGCTCCTGATTATGACATCATTAGTTACCACAAGATGTCTACTTAGATCTTATTGGTTGAAATAAACTATTGTTGCATAATAAACATTCCAGTGTTGGATAATGATGGGTGCTTTACCTCAGCTACCTAAGGGGCGAAACAGAGTCACAGCAATCCAGTTGTAAAAGGAAAGAGAAGGTAATGTCTACTAGAACAAAGGAATGTAAATTTTTGAGTTGTCTGGAATGACCTTTCTTATTTCTAAAATTGAGGCAGTAATTAGGTACACTTTGGAGGAGTTGTATTCAGTTTCTGCTCCTTTTCAGTCACAACACTTTGCATCCTAAAAAATGTGTTTTACTTCCTTGAGTGGTGAAGATTAAAAATGCCTTGCAGTTCTTATTTAAGGGTAAAACTACCTTAAAACCTTAAACCTTTAACCTTAAAAAATTCCTTGAATCTGAAATGGTAGTTAGGACTGTATATCTGTTTAATCAACAGATTAATGGATTGATTTGTTTATAGTAAATTGTATACTTAGCTTCCCCTCTAGGGATGTCCTTAGCAGCTAACCAATTAAGACATTCTAAAAAGACAAAACAAATAGGAAAACATTAGCATGCATCAAAACAGAACTCAGAAGCAGCAATAAACTATATGGTGTAACTGATAGCCAACAGAGATTAAGATTTGAGTCAAGTATCTATTGTAAAATCTTACAACGGCCCATTTTAATTGCAGTCGAGGCTTATGCGAATAGGACGGCATACAAAAATTCCAAATAAATAAATACATACATACATAATACATACATACTAAACTTTGGCTTAACATCAGGTAGCTATTGCATCTTATAGTGGTCCATTTGGGATGTAGCACTAAAGTATGTCCTAGCTTGCTTTGGGAAGACTTATTCACATTTCTGTTAAGCCATAATTTGCCAGGTTGTGTAGTGCATGTGTGTTGCCATCTCTTTAAATATGCGGCCTCTAGTCATAGATAACTTCCAGGTTGTTTTGCTCATGAATTGTTTGGGTTTGCATTTCATGCAGTAACGTACAATCATGATGGATAGTAGGCTGCATATTTGAAGAAACAGCAAAACAGGCATGGGACTCTACTGGGCAAAACAATTAATTAACCCATTAATTTTCTCACCATTACCTATGAATTGTATTACTGGTACATAAAACATGGCATGATCTTGACGTGTTTCACAGACATAATAATAAACTCTGGTTAGCTTCAATAAGGAAATGTGTTTCTAACTGCCTCATAACCACACCAAAGATGGGATAAGAGGTGGTGTGTAAGAATTACTTATGCTCTTTCATATAGCGGGGAATTGTTTAGCTTTACATCCAAAATTAGCCATTTCTTCAGTATTTCAGAAAGTCTACACAGAGGTTTTGAATATGAAAATTACTTTAAATGGCTAATCAGCCCAGTTAATTCTATCAAAATGCAGAATAATCCATTTTAAATTATTTGCTGTATAGTCCTACTGACAATGAGGATGTTAACTTCTTGTGCCTTTGATGTATTTCAGGTTCATATTGAGATTCATTAACTCATGACCTATGCTGCAGCTAAAGGGAATTCCACCATATACTGTGGCTCAGTACAGTGCGGGGCTGGAAGACAGACGAGTGATGCATTTATCTTGTATTGATACGGAACAGGAAGGTGATTTAGGACATGAGCAATTGCGTAAAAATGCCCTAAATCAGAAGAATGAGGATTTTCATCTTCCAAATATCCGTTCATTAGACAACAGCACTCATGTGAATGATAATGATTTGCAAAAGGAGTTCTTCTCTCTCAAGATCAGGAATTGTACTCTATTTAAAGCTGTCCCACTGCCTCATATTGGCAAAAAAATGCCACCATATCTGAGCGATACAGCAAATGGAGCGGCATTCTCCAAGGAATCTCTCGGTCTGCTTTTTTCTCCAGAAAGTGATCCTTTTGAGAAGATCTTTAATAGCTTTGATAGCACCGTGGTAACTGGCTGGCTGCAGAGAGCCCACAACTTCATTAGCAAAATGGGTTTATGGAGTCTCTCTGGTGACAACTTTGTACGCTTTGCACATTTCTGGCTGTCTGAACTCCAGGATAATCAAAAGCAGCAACTGTTGGAACTGGAAATGGGGGTTATCGAAGATGAAGTCCGCCTTGCTTTCCTTGGGGGATCAGACTCCAAGAAATTCCCGCCTTCTGACTTGAATTGCGTTCTTGCGGCTGCATTGAGTGAATATCCCACGGGACTAGTAAACAACCAGAACCCATTCATTTTTCTTGACTGCTTAAACCTCATGTCTTCAGCAAATACACCTGAGTATAAGGAAATGCTTTCAAGTATACAGTGCGCAACCAAGAATCCTCAGATAGCCCAGTGGTTACTAGCTATGCGAGCATTTGCACTTGCAAGTCTCTGGCTTGCAATAGTGAAGGTAAAAACACAATAGTTCTGAAATGCTAATGTTGGTTGTTGGAAAGTACTTTAAAGATGCATTGTATACTGAGAGAGGAAATAGAGGCAGTGTTTTAATAAAACTCAGGGCAACCAACATTAAATAGCATTAGAGAGTCACAATTAGAGTGAAATGAAATAGATATGTTATGGTGTATAAGTTAATGGGAGTAAATTCTAATATTTTCAGGTCTGTAAGTAAAATGAAGGCTGCAGGGCTGACTGAGATTAAAAACCTTTTCACTTCTGAGTTAGTACAGCAGCTTCTCAGATTATGTTTTGGACTACACTTCGCAGCATCCTCCACCCAGCATGGGAATGATGGGGGGTATCGTCCGATACATCAGAGGAAGGCTGCAGTAGAGTGTAATTACTGATAGTGATGTGCTTGAATGTTGTACTCCATTGACCTCCTGCACATATCTCATGCAGACAAATATATATTTTCCACTGTGTGTACCTATGGCAAGAAAAGCCAACAACGCCCGCTTTATGCTGTCTGCATCTCCATCATGCATGTGGCTAAACACGGGTGGTTTCTGTGTGCATTCCTTATCTTTTTGAAGCATTTCAAGGGTGCCCCTTAAACATGTAAAGGATCCCTGACTTTTGACTACTGTTTTAGGGCCAGCTTTGTTTGGTCTGACCTGTAACGCCAACATCAACACCATCCAGCAAAACATGTTCTGAAGGATGCTTTGAACCTGTTTTGCAAATGGCAGTTCAGGCAAATTGGTTCAGTCTTGCATCAGACCCAGAATAAATGAAAAGATGTGTTCTTGGACCACAGTATTTGGGAATTTCTGGAAGCTCCTTAAGTGAAGGTGACACATGAGGAAGCCTGTGCAACCCATGGTTTGCTTGAATGTCTGCAACTCAAATCTCCGTTTGGTCGTACAACTGGACCAGCCTTATAAGATGAATGTGCAGCAGCAGTAATAAGAACTTTTTATTCTGAGCATTTTTCTGATACTGAATACATTTATGACAGAGCTTCTTGTTCTAGAGCTGTGAATTTTTTTTTTGTAAGCATGTACTTTCTTGAAGAATATGTCCAGAAGGCAGTACAAATGTCTGTTTCCAATCTCTGTTACAGTTCCCTCCATGCCGTTATCATTCTGCACTTGCAGATATTTGCCTGGGAATAGACTCACGTTCCCAGTAAGTGTAAGTTCAGAATGATAGGCTTATTACAGTGTTGTCTGCAACTAGCCATATAAAAATTCCCTGCTAATTATGTATATTATATTTGCATTCTGTCCATGACTGCCATTAATATCAAAAAAAATGGTGGCTGCTTGTTACCAGTAATTGTCTTTGGGGCACTTCCAATATTGCATTTCTGTGTGCTTGTATGCACCTAATGTTGAATCAGTCCAGTACCGTCAATTCCAGCCTTTACCAACCTAGTATTCTACATGTTGGTTGAGGATTATAAGAGATAAAATCCAATGCATCTGGAGGGTACCCTTGGGGAAAAGCTAAATCTGCTCTCACTGGCAGTGATGCTCCCAAATTTTGAGCAGATCTGTCTTAAAAGAGAATGCCAGGGATTGATCCTGCACTAAAGTATGATCTCGCTAAACTGTTGGTTAGATGCAGGCTTAGTCATATTTACAGCAGACATATTAGAAATAAGGTTTCAAGGTGACTCTATTTCAATCGAACAATATGTGTTTAAAGGTGAGTGTAGTATTGAGTAAAAAGTTGTCAGAGATATAAGCTCCATATCCCATTGGAAGTAAAAATCAGATAAGCATTTGACTTCTTTTGAGATCTCTACAGGAATTATGGCTCAAAAGTATATTTATTCATTCCCCAAAAGGAACAACAGCAAGCAAAAGCCATGTGGCACATGAAAGATCAAGAAATTTCTTATGGCCTAAGCTTTAATGGCCAGAGTCTACTTCATCAAGGAACACAAAATGCCATTTTTACTTAAAAGGCCCACTTGATCTCTTTGCATATATTTGATAAAGCGGACTGTGGTTCAGGAAAGCTTATGCTGCAATAAAACTGGCAGTCCTTAAAGCATTCAGGCTCTTGTGTAGTATGTTGAAGTTTTTCAAGAATAATTAAAGTTTGTTTTTCTTTGAAGTTTTGTAGGAGGATTGGGGTTTTGGGGGGTTGCTTTGTTTTTGTTAATTCAAAAACATCAGTACACACAATGTGACAGTGCCCACTACTGTTTCCTTGCCTTAGCTCTTTAACAATTACCTTTTCTGACCTGGAAGTCTGACCAATGCTGAGCAGTAAAATCTAACATTTTCATTTCCCAGGATGCTCCAGAGTAAGGCTATGTCAAATGCATTGTGGGCAATCAAGATGGCCTCTGCACCAGATGTTCAGTACTGCTAAAACTGCTGCTGTGTAAACTTGTTAGGGCTGATGCATGAGGAGCCTCTGTCCATGGCCCCCTCAAACCAGGAGCTTCCCTGTAAGCCTTTCTTTGTGGCTTTGTTTTTAAATGCAAAGATTGCCCAAGAATTCTGGTTTCTGCCACAATACTGTTTTTGTGGATGGAAAGGAGGGGAAAGAGCAGCTGTGCTCTTCTAGGATGTCCTGTACCAGATATGAGGGTGGCCCATAATCATGCTAGATAAGATAGATGGTGATGGCATATTTTGCTTTTTTTACACTAACTATGATACCTAGTATTCAGTCTGAACTTATGTAGACCTCTGAAGGCAGAAACATACATTTATCGTAAATATGTTAAAAGGTCTAGCCATCTTAACACTAAAGAAAACCTCTATTCTAGTAATTATCCTTCATTCAGACTATATGCTCCTGGTATTTTTGTGCAGAGAATAGGTATAACATAACCACATACATAAATTAACATGATTAGGAGTCATTAATTCTCCTCTTCCCACAAACTGCAACGCTTTCCCCAAAGGACTTTCTTTGCATGGCAATTAAGCTTAGGAAAACATTTTCCGTTTATTGGGATGTTCTGGGTCAGGGTACAAACTGAGGAATTTGTTTGAGATAATTTTCCTCCTGTGAAATTCAAATAGTAATTAACAGCTGCATATATAAATTAGCACGTGCAGATTTGTGTCCTGTAAGTCTGGGGCCAGAATCCCTTAAATGCCTAGTGACGCCGGGGCAGGACCATGACCTGGGCCAGCAGCGCAGCCCCAGTTGTGCTTATTCACTTGTTCGGCGCTCTCATACAACTTTGGAAAATTAATACACTAGAATGCCTTCCAACAAGAACAATGGCAAGTATTTAGTTGTGCATTCATGCTCTCCCAGGATTGTTCTTGTGGCTTTTTCAAAAGCATAGGCTCCTTGCGCTCTTGCAAATCTGCATTTTACCATTCCTTTACATTGCTTAATGCATTGGCAATGGGCCACAGGATCGCATGCTCCCGCCTCTTCTGGATGTTAAATTCTTCCCCTTTCTTCTGTCGACTGTAATCCAGCTGCTTCATCATCAAAAGTCATCGTGAATGTAAAGCATGATCAGTGCTGACCACATTTTGCTCCAGATACTCTATTTGAAACCCTGTTTTGATTGTTGTTTTTGAATCCTGGATTAGGACCAGACCCTGTTTAGTATTAATTGTGACTAGTGTTAATGCAGGCGTAACATCATACTATGAATAACAGGTGACAATAATATGCCTATGCTTTCTTCTCACAGCAGTTTTGGCAAGGGAATATTTATTTTCTTGCAGTCTTGGACTGTGGCTGGCTTTTTACTGTTTAAAAAACTTGCATTCTGTACTTGAATATTCATATAGCATAGCATCACTGTTTGCCTGTTTATAAATAAATGTTTTTATGTTGATGTGTAAGAACAACTCCCATGGGTCTCAAAGCTCTTCTGAGGATAGGGAGAACAAAGCTTAACCCTTATTTTACTATGCTTACCATTTATACCAGTTTTCTCCAGCCTGGAACCCTCCAGACGCCTTCAACTACAACTCCCACCACTGCTTATGCTGGCTTGGGATAATGGAGGCTGTAGTCCTATACATCTGGAAGGCACCAGCTTGGTGAAGACTGGTTTAGATACCAGGAGCTTTATTGTGTGCCGTCCACGGTACAGTAGAATATATTCTTTGTAAGTGGACCCTCCGCAGTGCTTACGATAATGTACCCTAGTCTCCTTTTGGGGACAGTATCATTTGGCTTACTCAGAGCTCAACGTGATGCTTTTTGATAACTCATATCTAGATCTCTACTGACGATGCATTTAGTTTTCCATATTGGGACACCATGACAGGTTTTGACAGGGCTGCGGAGCGAAGATTGCAGAGGAGGTGGTTGAAGGCCTGCTTTTTCGATTCTATTTTGCAGAAAAGTGCAAAATGCTGCCAGAAGCCAGCCTTTACGCAGATACACACACTCTCCATCCAGTCAGATCAGGGCAAGAGGCCTCTAACTACAGTCTTTATTATGTTACAGCTATCCAGCTAGCTTGCCTTTGTGATGCAAAAAGAGGAGTATTGCAGAAGGCATTGACAATACATACATACATACACCAGTAGTTAGGATACCAGTAGTCAGAGAAATGGCCGTCGGCTAAGAAGTTGGTTGCACACCGGATCCCTATTCTACTTCCTAACCAAAAAGAGTTAGCTCCACACTCAGGGTGGTTCATCAGATGCTACTTAGCTGGCCTGCCATTTTGCTCTGACACCGGACTATAGGATTGATCATGTTATACCTGCCCCCTCTAACTCTGGTTGTTCATAGAGTTCAAAGGGATCTCTATGAACTGGCCTCTTGGCTTATTAACTGGGCCTTTTCCATTAAGAATTCTGACCCTCTTTCTTCTGATTTGGATTCTGAGGTAATCCCTTTAGAAGTCTGTGTTTTGGGAGAAGTGGGCCTAATCCCTACAAATTAGGGATTTCATGGTCATGTTATATAGATGCTCTTAAGGAATATCACTTGTAATCTACAGTACTTATGGGTTGGGAGGATATGGAGATTTCTTTGCCCCTCCCTGAATGCCATCTCTTCCTGTGTTGAAATACAAATATGTACTTGGCAGCACCTCAGAGATAGGTAGATATGAATTGAAGGAAAAAATACATATGCTTGCATCTTAAAGGGGGGAGGGCTGTAAAAACTGGAGTTGCTTCATAATGTGCTTTAAACATATAATTGATCGAAACTGCAATCGTCATTAAGTTGTATGGGATTAACAATAGGGGCTGAAATCCAGAGAAGGACACCACTGGTTCTGTAAATCCAAGTGCACTTCTTTGGCTTGTGTTTTGTGAACAGCAAAGCCCCATGGTATATCTTTTTTCAAACCAAAGGGGGTTTTAGAAGCCTAGTGGGTATGTCTAAAGTAGCTCTTTGTATCCTGCCTAAAATGTATGTGTAACTTTCTAGTATAACTTTTTAAAGTGTCTTGAATTTACTGCACTTGTATTTTAATGCAACATGTGTACTTGCCTTGAATTTGACTATTACTAAACCTGAAACATTCCAGCAGAACTGAAAGGAAAGTGGATTTATTGAAGTTATTGACAGTGATCCACAGCTCTGTTAAGCTGAAGAATTAATTAGGCAGATATTCAGCCTGGTTCTTTGTAGACTGTCCCATTATGTACAATCAGGTGCATTCCCACTACTTCGGATTGTGACTTTACTCTGATTTTAGTGGGACAGGCATCCCAATCCCAAATGAATAAGTAATCCATGTTTACTTATGCAGAAGTCCCATGCAGTCTTGAAGCTTACTTTCCAAGTTGCGTACATTTAGCAGCAAAGCCAATATTGCCCCAGATGCAAGCACTTCAGCTTCACTGGGTTGTGGATTAGATAATAACATCCAGTTTCTAAAGTCTGCACTTTATATTGGGTGGGACAGGGGTCTATTTTTAAAGAACCTTTCTTGCACTAGTAGGATTATTTTTAACTGAAAAGGAAAACTTGTGTAAAAGAGAAGATGTATATAAATTCAAGAGGGGCTTGCTTAATATCAAGCTATAGACAAGCTGACAATGCTGTCTGACTGCTACTGTTCATGGCTTCTTGGTACATCTTTGTAGAAAAGGGACATGAAAACTGAAGAAAATAACAAGCTTCTGCACAGCCAGGACAGAGGCAGCCTGAGGCAAAGGTCCACTGATCATTTTAAACTCTGCACTTCCACCTGAGCAAGCTTTGGCCTTTCCAAAATGGAGGTACAGGCAGCTTAAACGGCCTATGAATTCTTCTGTCGAAATGTCCTTGAGATTTTACTATAGTAGTAAAATATCATTAGTAGGTCAGGGAACCAAATGGCCTAATACCCAAACTGCAGATGAATTTGCCTTGTTTATGACATGACATGTTTTCTAGAAGAGTTAGTTTTTTTTCAAAGAATTGACAGAACTGGAGTTAAGTTATAAGATTGCTCACTAAACAATGTCATGCTTTTAAAATTCAGTTCTATGAGACATTGGTCAAAACCCAGCTCTCTTCTGAAGAACCTATCAAGAGTTCTGTTTCTGCTGCTAGAAAGCAATCCAGTGAAGTGGTTAAAGAAAGGTAAGAATACTTGCATTGAGAGGAGAGATACTCTTCTGTAGTATATTTTCAGACAGCTATTGTATACTAAAACTAGCATGGATGCAAACACTGCACTGCTTTATGAATTCATTGGGTACAGGCCACCCGGGTGCATCAGAACTTGTACGGGAAAGATGTTCTTGGGCGATTGTGGCCATTTGTCTTCAAGTTAGTTAATGCTTTTATATAACCTTGAACTGAATATGTGCCTGTACTGAGTTTTGTATGTAATGCCAAAAAAAATCACAGCATACTAATGATGCTTTAATGTGTGCGTCAGTAGTATCATTTGTTAGGTTCTTGCCTTTAAAGATGCAGGTGCGAGCGTACAAGGATGTAAAAAGGCTCTAAAGAATTATTTTTAACACAGTGAGTAGGCGATCACATATCTAAATTGTGGAGAAGTCCTGTAAGGCTGAAATACTTGCTGTATGTGACTGAGAAATGTCTTCTTGCTTTGCTTGCTTCTTAAAAGCACTGTAGAAGTGGCATTGACTAAATATTCTATGGTGTAGAACTGTGTGTGTTCTCTCCCCCACCCCATCTGTTTGTGCAACTCCTCAGATACTTCAGTGTTCACAACCTTACTTCATTTCAATGGGTTTTGTGTAAGGACCCTCTCTGAAATCAATTCAAGTTCTTTGGCAGCAATTATACCTTGTGTTCCTAGGTTTCAGTACGTATACACAGTGGGGAACTAGATAGCAACACTAGATTTTCAAGGGTCTTGATTCAACCAACCATGAGCACAGTACCAATATAAGAAGAAGAGTTCCATGGGGTTTGTTTTTCCCCAGTCCCTTAGCACAAACACAAATATCAACAATGCAGGCTGCTGTTGAACATGGTGACTTCATATGGTCCTCTGACTCCATTCTTTTTCAGTTTGTCTCTTTCCTACCTCATCTGCCTAAACATTTTGTGGCAGTGAATTCTTTCAATCGGGGGTTGAATTTAGGTTCATGGGTCAAATCTGGCCTGATTAGGGTCCTAGTCCAGCCTTCTGGGGTCCTCCAATAGGCCTTGCCCCTTCTTTACCCCGTCTTCTTATTTGTGTAGAGCAGTGGTCCCCAAACTTTTGGGCTGCCCCCTCTTTCCTCTTGGGCAACAATCCTAATGGCCCCACAGTTCTCTCTTTGGATTAGAATCAATAATTCATATTCAAATCTACTGCAGATTTGAAACAACCAATCACCACCCCCTGGATCTTTCCACTGCCCCAGAAGAATTACTGGTGTAGCAGTTTCCCTGTTTTATCACATTCCTCTCATTCACAGAGGGTGAAATGTCTCTTTTAAGGCTTTGTTGTTGACATTAAGAGTCTTGAGCTAAAATACACTTTTTTTGTGTTTTGACCTTGTCCTCCAATGGAATACTCTTGAGAGCTTCTCTAAAATTGATCTGGCTCTCAGGCTGGAGCAGGTTCAACACCACTGTCTTAAATTAACTTATGTGAAGAGGTTCTTTCATTGGTGGGGGCGAGGGGGGCATGATAAGGACAGTAATGCTCTGTTGTAGCACTTCTCCATGCTGCTGAGCCCAGGTGTACTGGATCAAGACCATTGCTTTCCTATGAAAGAAATATTTAACTTACTTTCATAATGTTTCTCTAATATTTCTTCCAGATGCCTGCTCAACCTTTTAGATTTGATGTGCCCCCCACATTAAATTAAACATTCTAGGCTTCACCATTTTATTAGAAAATAGTTGATTTGAAAGGGTCTTCCATAGTACATTGAAATTCTTTTTAAAAAGGAGCAAAGCAGGAGTGTATCAGTCTTTGTACAAATGTATGGATTTCTAGAAGCTGATGATAGAACACTGTGTTTACACCACTGGAGGGAGTTAGAGGTCAAATGTTTTAACATGATTCTATGTATGTGTGTATTTATGCGTGTGCATAAATGTATGTATATATGCACACACAGACACTATTTCTCAGCATGCAGATGTCATCTGTAAGTGTGCTGATTATAAACTTTTTCCCTCACCATTATTATAGCAAATAAAGTAATGCATCAGATCTGAAAACAATATATTGTGGTGATGATTTTAAATTTGGAAGTGAAATGCTGCTTGATGGTTTTTATTTGAGCTGTGTGGAGAAGGAGAAATAAAAAAAGTTTTGTTGGTAAACTCTAAGCTTGCTCCTTCTGTTTTGCTTCCCAACTTTGTCATTCTCCAGTTCGATCTGATGTGGCTGGATGCAAGTGGCCGCTGGCATCTCCTTTTTATCCTTTTATTTTACTGGCTCTATGTAAAATAAGGTGGACAGCTGCTGACAGTGGCCAGGGCTGAACTCTGGAATCCACAACCATGAGATGGCCATTAAGTTTATGGCTTCAAAGGAGGATTAGTCAGTCAGTGGAGGACAATGGCTATTAGTTGTGATGTCTACAGATTTCCTTCATTGTCTGAGGCCACTGTGGCCGGGGAATACAAACAAGAGAGTATTGATTCATTTCTGTCTTACTTGGGGGCTTCTTCCAGGCAGCTGGTTGGCTTCTGTAAGCAGAATGCGGACTCGATAGTCCTAATCCAGCATGGCAGTTGTATTCTTTGTCCAAACGACTATGTTAGGCGTTCTCTCAAGCCAAAAGGTCTTTTGCTTGAGCCAAACAAACAGCCGAGGGGGTTGTTTTAAAATCAGCTTTTCCCACCTGGCAAACTGTTTTCGACACCCTCGGGCAGCCTCCCCAACCTGGTATCATCCAGAGGGTTTGGACTGTCCCCCAGCTTTCCTGGCCACTGGGATTCTGGAATGAAAGGTTAAAACATCTGAGCGTACTAAGTTGGGGAAGATGGCCCTAGGATTTAACTCCCAACAATCAGTTTTTCCAGGCTTCTTTTTCGAACTTGTTAGATGGTTAACAAATTCAAAACCATAAAATACAAAAGAATCTTGCACCACGGGAGAAAAACATACATTCTCACTAAAATCAGCAGCCAAAAAACTAATAAAAACTAGGGTGCCATGAGCAAGATAACCCCATGTGGGTAATGTATACAAACAGAGAGAGGGAGAGCTAGGGTTCAAGAGGCTGAATAACTGCAGTAATTACTATTATTATCCTTTTGTTCTTTTAAATTAATTTTGTGTGCATGTTTAAACTTTTGTTACCCACCCAGAGAGTCTTGGCTGTTGGGCAGTATAAACATGAATTGGATGAGGATGATGGGAAAATTGCACAAAACCCAGGAATCAATTGATTTTTCTCACCCCTCTTCTATCCTGAGACTGGTGCTCTGCTGACTGACGGTGACAAAGACCAGTGTCCCTTACAGAGCTTCAGTTTTTGCATCTTGCTAAAACAAAACCAATCCAGAGTGTTTGTTTTGCTCTGTGTCTTCTGCCTGTGCTCTTGCTCTCTTTGTCTTTGGCCCCAGCTACCCAGCCGCCCCCAGAATGTGGCCCTGGGAGCGTCTCTTAAATTGAATTTGACCTTTCAGACTAAAATAGGTTCGCCATGGTAGAGAGAAAGAGCAGCTACAAATGCCCTCTGCTATTTTATGATGATATTATTAGCTGTTTCTAAGCTCTTAAACTAATACAAAATCTTTTAGGTTAATAATACAAATAAAAATGAGGTGCAAAGGCCTGTGCTAGTTAAAGCACTACATCAAATTAGCTTTTAAAGTCTGGGGAAGAGCACAAGATACAGGGACAAATAGTGTTGACCACGGGTCCTCAAACTAAGGCCCACGGACCAGATCCACCCCGCCATGCCCATTTAACCAGCCTGCCCCAGAGGTTTTGCACTTGCTGTGCTCGCACACGCAGCTTGCTCACGAGGAGGTCATTTTGGACTCACTCAGAGAAAACAATCTCCTTGCGAGCAAGCCGGCGCCTCGCGTGCACGCGCCTGTGCACATGCCCTGCCCCCAACCCATGTGCCCCCCCCCCCGGTTGAAAGCATAATTAAAGATAAAATGTGTAAACAGATATAAGGACAAAACCTGCTGAAAAAGAATCAACACAGTGTCTGCAAAGGTAAGTCCTGCCTTACTAATCCATTAAAGTTCTTTGAGACTGTCGATAAACATGTGGACGGGGTAGGCTAGTACTCATTTACTTCCAAAGGGCTTTCTAAAAAGTCCCTCACTGAAGAACCCTGAACAAATTTTAGGGACCCTGTTGTGGATCAGTTACAGGCAGGGATCCCCAACTCCGGGAACCCCGTCAGGAACTGCACGGCAGGAGGGGAGTGGCAGATAGCATCACCGTTGGGAAGCAGCTGCAACTACAGATCATCATTCGGACCCTTTCGGGTCTTGGGCCTTGAAAGGAGGGGGGGCAGCAGAGTGTCCCGTGGCCGGCCGGGGAGGGCGCACGCAAGCGGCACGGGAACTGGGAAGCCAGTAAGGGTCGGGCTGCACAGCTGCAGGTCAGGGGGAGGCTCCCACTGATTCTGCATTATGGTGAGTTGTATAATTATTTCATTATATATTACAATGTAGTAGTAGTAGGAATAATAATAGAAATAAAGTGCACAATAATGTAATGTCATCCCGAAACAATCCCCCCCCCACTCCCTGGAAAAATTGTCTTCCACAAAACTGGTCCCTGGTGCCAAAAAGGTTGGGGACCACTGGGCTAAGGAACAGAAAGCAGAGGGTGGGAATTAATGGTCAATTTTCCCAAAGAAGGGATGGAAACCGGGGGGGGGGGGGGTCCCAGAAGGTTCTGTAGTTTGAAACTGTTCAAAAATGCTTTTCAACTCAGCCAAAAATATCTAGAATGGTTTAGCTTAGGAAAAAGGTGAATAAGGGAAGACATGATAGAGGTCTACAAAATCATATGCAGAAAAGAGATAAGAAAACATTTTTCTCTTTATCCTAATGTTAGCACCCATTCCATGAAGCTGACTGGTGAGACTTTCAGGGCAAACCTAAAGATGTACTTCCTCTCATAGTACGTAAACTGTGTAAACTATGGAACTCACTTCCACAAGATGCTGGGAAGGCCATCAAGCTTTAAAAAGAGATTGGACAGACTCATGGAAAGTAGGCAAACAGTGGCAGCGGTCTAGATAGCTATCTGCTACCCTCAATATCAGAGGCGTTATGCCTTATGTAGACCAGGAAGATGGGTGCAGGAGTGCTGCTTGTGGGTTTCTATGGATAGCTGTTTGGCCACTGTGTGAAGAAAATGCTGGACTTCATGAACCCGGAGCTGATCCAGCATGGCTCTTTCGTTCTTCACTGCTGCTTTTTGAGGCCAGCTTTATGAAAATGCACTAGAGGGAGCTCCATTATGTGACATACCAGAATATATCTGCCAGTACCAGACTTTTACCAAGGCTGTAATGCAATCCTGGGCCAAAAATTCCACTTCAGACATCATACAGTAGCAGTTCCTTGTTCCAAGTGTATTTATTCTAAAATGAAATTCCACTGGGTAGCCAAAATGATGCAAAGTGGTTGAAAGTACAAACCTCCAAAGAGTCTGATCTCCCAAGTTTCATTTTTTCTGCAAGAGAGTAACACAACCAACCCTGGAAATTTACTGTTTGCCATAATTTTTAACTTCACACCTCGAAATGGAACAGCCTATAGACTGACCTGCAAAGGAATCTGCTTTAATTTGTACTTCATGGGGATGGTTAAATCCCTAAGTCAATTTCATTTTTGAAACTGAAATGCAAATGCTAAAGAGTTGCTGCACCTCTCTTGATGAAACACTTCAAAAGGTTGATCTACCAAAATAATTGGATACAGGGGTAGTTTGTTCAACTACCTAGTTCTCTCCCAAGCTCAGTAATCCCATAGTAGAAAAAATAGAGTAGTTAGGTCTTGGACTGCTAGTACATGTAAAGCAGCAGGGTGTAAGATATGCATTTTTCTCTAGAGTCGAGAACTGGAAGGAGGATTTGAAGCACAGTATGAAAGGGTGAGCAGGGAAAGCGAACCCCTTCCCCACTTAAAACCAATTTTTAAAAATTCATTCTTTGTATGAGTTGCGAGTAGGGAACTGCTTCTCTGCAATGCAACAGAAGGGCTGCTTCTGTAACTTAGCAACTTTATATCAGCCAGCCTCGGCAAGGGGCGGCATAGAAATGTTTTAATAAATAAATAAAATAAAATAAAATCTATCCGCAGTTCTATTTGCCTTCTCCTTGTGGAGGAAAACGCTTGGCACGTCAAGTATATTGAAATCTATTCATGTATTCCTAATCTATTGCACGTTTGCAGTGGATGGTCATAAGCCATGTTGACAGATTTTTGCTGTAAATCAGGAGAGTTGTGTCTCTTTCATTCCAAGGACTGAATTCAGTTTTGGAGAAGCTTTCAGCTGGCCACATTCCAGTGGTGGACAGGACCAAACATAAAACAGGACTGAGTCAAAATACCCCAAATACGGCATATTTTAGCTTAAAGTTCTCAGCGCCAATAAATAAGCCTTGGGAAAGGCATTTTAGCTTTTTCAAATGGAAAAAGGGGAAGCTGGTGACTCTTAAGTCAGTGGTGCTGTTTATCCATTTGCTGCCTCTATTCCGAGCTGTTTAGGAGCTATTCATGGTATTAAACTCCATCCCCAAAGTAGGTTCATCATAGGATAGCTCCTATGAAACTGTGGAGAGGGATACGAAAGTAGAAACCAACAAATATTAAAGAAGGGCCCAAGGCTGGAGGCAGCCCCATCTAGACAAACTAGAAAGCCCAGCTTTCTACCAAAGACTTGGGGTACGGCACCCCTGCTGTAACAAAATAAACATAATCAATGGGGGGACCCAAAATGTTTATGTCTTGGAACCCCAGTCTGGACTTGGGTTTGTGGTCTTCATGTCTAATTTGGCCTTTAGAGAGCAGATGCCTAAACCGTGAGGACATCTGCTCCACCTTGATTTTAGAAGACTATTTTCTTGACCACCTTTTAACGAGTGGGCGGACCCACCGGTGGATGGAGTCGTTCGTACTTGCATGTATCCTTGGAGCTTCAAAAAAGTATAACCCATAATTTGATCAGAACTGGGGAAAGTGCAGGCACTATTGACCAAATTTTGAACTGAAGGCTATTTATTTATTTAGAGAACTTCTATGCCGCCCCATTTGCCGAAGCCTCGGGGCGGCTCACAATCATAAATAAATAACATAATATAAACAATATAATTGCATGATACCAGGTCTATGCATGATACCAGGTCTCTAATTATGAAGGTGGATTCACAAAAGCAGGTCAGCTAATGATTTCTCCATTCTTCCCCATCCACCCCAATTTAGGCTATTTATAGCTCCCAAAATAGTGTGGGTGCTATCATAAAGGGTAAGAAACAAGAGGCAAAGGGTTGTTGTGTTATGTGAATTCAGTTGCACTCATTGCAGAATGCAGCTGCTAGAATATTAAGGAAAGCGGTCAGGCAGGATTGCTTTAAACTAATTCTAAGGAAACTTTAATGGATCTCTTATTTGCTTCAGGACTCAAGTCAGGATGCTGGTGCTTATCTCTTAAAGGGCTTGGGAGCGAAATACCGTTCCCTATACCTGAGAGGGCAGGGTTATGTGACAATTAGGTCAGCTACTCTGCATGTGGAATGTATACCTGTTTTTTTGCTCACCCTTCACACCTTGTTTCCCCAGACATCGGGCAATTTGCTATACTGTTTTAATACGGCCTTTTAACAGTCATTCCTGGTTGTGTTTTGTTTTGATTGCTCTTTGCATTGTACAAACATCTTTGGTTACATTTATTATTCAGGAATAAATACACAGTTCTTTGATTGTGGCTGTTGGTAGTAAATAACAATGGTCAGTTAGTTTCCTTAGAAACAGAAATGGCTTTTTTGGGCACCCTTTCCCAAGCAGTGTTAACTATTCACGTATTTCCTTTTCTCCTCCTCAGGGCTCTACAGGCTGTCCAGCTGGGATATACAGATGTCTTGGATTATCTTTTTAGAAACCAGAAGCTTGATTTTGGTGTTGTGGATGAAAAGAACAGAAATCTTCTATTTTTAGCCATTATATATGATCAGTCTAAGATTTTGGACTATTTTCTTGAACTGGTCAGTTGGGTAGAAGATTTTTGCATTGATTCTTCTATATATTTAAAATATTATGAATTAGAAGATATGAAAAATGCTGAGGCCACAATCCTATGCACATTTACCTGGGTGTATGTCCCACAGAACATCAAATTCTAAGCAAACATGTGTAAGATCACAGTATAAACGTGCTTGGTTACTCGGTATAATCTGGATTCTGATTCACTCTTTCATACTTCTAGAATTATGTTTTGGTTGTATTTATATCCCATCCTTTTGTCATGAGTTCAGGACTGTGTATTTGTCCTCATCCCCCATTTTAACCTTACGACAACCCTATGGAACTGCTTGATCTAAAGGATAATAAATGATTCAAGATTATACAGCAAGCATTAGATCTACACAGGGTTTGAATTCAAGTGTCCCTAAAGCCTAGACTCTATTGGCTCTCAGTTATATTTTTGCTTATTCAGGTTAGACAGTGTGCAATTAGAACTGTCATTGACCTGCTTTGCATAACACAACGGTCTACCAAACTTATTTACTTATGGAGCTGCACTGTCACATCATTCCTGGCACCTGTGGGTGCCGTTTTGTGTGTAATGCCTCTGAATGCCAGTCCCTCCGTGATTTGTTGTGACATGTGACTCCAGAGGCAGGGATTGTTGGAGGGTTAGACAACTCACAAATAACCCATGACTTATTTTAGGGTTTTTGAGCATTGCTGTCAGGGGTTGCATGACATGGCAAGTCACAGCAAAACGGGTGTCCATGGGTACCTGGCATAATACAACAGCCCCATTGGTAAATTAAGCCAAGGTGGGTCATCATGACGTGAACAGGTTCCTTACCTAAATGTAACGTACTCCAAATTGTTTGTAAGTTTTCAGAGTTGATGTATGGCCATCTTTTAAGTCAGCACCGACATTTAGATGATCTTTTACATGAGTGCTACCGGGTAGAAGTGCTACCAATTTTTTTTCTGGTGTGTTTGGGAAACATTCAGCCAGTAAATGCATGGAATCAGCATATAACCCACCTCTGAAATTTGAACAACCGACTTGTGACAACCAACTTTCCTCACTCTTAAAAAAATTGTTAAAAGGTCTGGGAAACATGGGAGAGGCTCTGGAGGACAACCGTGTTGTGAAAAGACCCCTCAGACTTCTGTGAATGCGCGATCGTGAGACAACAATACAGGTCTCATGTAGAGAAGCCCAACATTCTGTGAAGGATAAAAACGCAAGTGGGTCCCTCTGGGGACAATTACGTTGCGCAACTGAAAATAGTATAAGCTGAGTACAGGGACCATTCACAACATCATCCAGAGGGACCATTCTCTCAGAGTGAGATTCGGATGAGGGGCACAAGGGAGAAGGCCTGGGAAAGGCTTTTTAATGGTTCTGAGGGTTTTATTGTCGATTAAAACTGCTTTTATTTTTTGCTAATATGCTGTTACATTGCATTTTTATGGTTTTATTTTTTTTCCAAGTACTGAGAGAATGATATGTCATAAAGGAAAGGAAGCCAGGGCTAGCCTATATAATGCTGCTTTTCTGATGTTTTGGTAGCTTAATACGAATCTGCTTTGGAAGGTGAATATTTCTCTTCCTTTCTTCCACCAGGCCCTTCCAGTACCTGATGTGAACCAAGCAGCAGAAAATGGAAACACACCACTTCATGCTGCTGTAAACACGGGGAAGATGCACCTTGTCTCTTTGCTCTTGCATTACCCTGGAATTAATGTGAACGTCCCAAATCCGCAGTGTTATGGAGCAACTGCTCTACATTTCGCTATTGCTTATGGTAATGTTTTGAAACTTGTTGTCTCTGATAATTCTCTATCTAGAACTGGGGAGTGGGCATTTCCTGCCACTGTCCCCAGCACTTGGCAGATGACCATGGGCTTTGAAAAGATGTGCCTTTTGTTATAAATTCATACTCATTTACCAGCAGCTACTTGGAAGCTTGTTGCTAGGCAGAAAACTGAAGTAGAAATATTTTGAATAAATACAATAGAATCAGTACTTTGTCTAGAGGAGATATGGGTTCTTTGCTACTCTCCTTTAGGGCCAAATATAAAAATGTTAGTGATGATCTGTGACAGGATAAAAGAAACCCTATATTTGAGGCAGGGGATATGTAATTCTGATTGGGACCATGGTGCTGGAATATGGGGATTTTTTTCCTTTCTGTCTCAATGGTGCAAAAGCCTGTGGGCTCAACCCAGCCCCACAGGAGTCCCCACAGACCTGAGCCCAGCCCACCATGGCCCAAACATGGACCATTTGATGGCTTCCTGATTTTTCTGGAGATCTTCCCATTATAAGAGACTGAAATGGCTCTCCTAAACCTTACTTACTGGTAGAAAGAGTTTTAAACTAAAATACCTTGGTCTTCTGGAACACTTTTTTGTTTTGCCCCTTTACCCCACTCAACTCTGGAATTTGGCCTCTGAGAGCTTTTCGAGATTGCAATTTGGCCCACAGATTGAGAAAGGCTGTTCACCCTGCATTATTCCATTTTCCTGATGAGAATCATGCTTCCCCCCCCCCACTCCTTTCACCCCAGTGGGGCAGCCAGTTTTAGATTGGGGGATGGTGGTTTTCCTTCAGAAAATTGAACAAGGAGGCAGAGATAGATTATAATGCTAAATATACTCCGTGACGTACAGATATAGTTTGAGATCTCCACTGTAGTGAAACAAACTTCAGAGGGATTTCATGTTTATCTGCTCTCTGAGGTGGGTTCCTTTATCCTTCAGCTGTGAGGTAAAAGCAAGGTCAAGTACGTTGATAGTTAAATAAATCCAAAATACCTCTAGGCTGACCTGTTTTGATACACATGTATGCCTACCTGCCAGGTTTTTGAAAATCCAGACTAACTTGTCTTTTCCTTGCTATGATTCAGAAGTCCTTATATTTAACCTGTAATGACAAAAAAGCCAAAACAGGTTTTAAAGAGCTGAATCAATATTCTTAAATATGTGCTAAAATACATAACAAAGAAACACACTCTTTTAAGTGTGGATGGTCCATTTGAAATATTCTGTTCAGTAAATGCCAATCTATGCAGCTGTTACCAAATGAGTGAACAGGTCATTAAGACATTTTGCTAAACCAATTAAGGACCTAAGTTCTGAGTGGAGTAGCAAACACTCCTGATGAAATGTAGATGAAGAGCAACATTGATTGTTTCCATAAAATGATATGTTTATTTTTCTAGATAGGGAAGGCTTCATTGCAAAGCATGTACTTTAGAAGCAGAAGATACTAGATCCAGTCCTTAATATCTCCAGTTAAACACACACATAAAACCCAGGAAGCAGGTGGTTGGATTAAGCGCTCAACCTTAGAGCAGTGGTAGACAGAAGGCTGAGGAGGATTTGCTAGACCTGTTATCAATTTGAAGCAAATTGGCAGGAGTTTCTCTTTTCCAACATTTTTAGCAATAGCAAGAAACAGGCAAAAACATATATCTTTTGTTAGCCCCTGAGTTAATTGCTTATCACTGAGCCTTAAAGTTTCTCACTTGTAAAATGTGAACATAACTTGGTTGACATTGTCCAAGTCTTTGTTTGTAATGTAATCTGTTCCGTATAGTTATGCACATGTAGTTGGATTTGTTTAAACAGTTTATTCAAATATATACCTCATGGAATCTGAAAGATACCCGCTCTTCCTGCTACTGTTTTGCACCTGGTTTTAGCTGGTGGACCGCTGTGTTATAGAAGGTGTGTGTCTCTGCCTGGCCATCTGTCTGTCAGTGTCAAGGCTGTGAAACCTACACACCTGAAACTTGACATGCATACTAAGGGGACCCTACCGTATGCACCTCAATGTTTTTAATTTTTAACATACATTAATTTAAATTAATTAAATATTCCTGTGGAATTGAACATTGTAATAACAAGGCTCAGACCTCCCTAGACAGCACCTATCTTTGCAGTCCCCGTGAAGTGAGCCGGGTGGGATTAGCAGGCTAAAGGACAGAGATATATTCCTGCTCCTTGCACCCTGTTTATTTCATTTGTATACTGGCCCACAGTCAAAGCTCTCTGGGCATCTTACGTAGTCCATAAAAACAGATGGTAAGAAAATCATAACATCAGGAAAAATATTAATAAAACCGCTATAGACAGATAATAAAGAACAACCAAAAAGAGCGATTCTGCAAAACACCTGGTGACTCCTGACTGGCTGAGCCAGTCTTTAATAGCCTTGGAAGAGAGGGTTGTCTTAACCTGGCACCGAAAAGATGAGAGATTCAGCACCAGCCAGGCCGCCGTGGGGAGGTTATTTTGTAAATGGCAGCCTCCCCCATTGGAGTTGAATGGACAGACCTTTCCTCAGCGAGCTATAGGGACAGACCGTGGGTACCAGTGGGCAATGGCTTCACTTGGATGGGGAGGGTACATTGTGTCCAACTCTGACAGCTGTGTAAGCTCACTTGATGGTTTTGCACTATCAAACCAAGGACTGTTCCAAGAGTAGTTCTTAGCTAAGACTGGTCTGTTCAATAGGGGATGGATGGATGGTGATTCCCCAGCCTGACATCAGTCCACTCTGACCTAGAGATTCACTAGCAGCTAATAGTGGGATAGATGGATCAATGGTCTTAGTCAGTGATAAGGTAACTTCATGTGAGAGTAAATAAACATATTTTATATCAACACAAAACCATGCCTCTTTTTTAATCTATTCAGGGCATATGGGAATTTGTTATTTATTGCTGAATGCCTCCGCTGATGTAGAAAGTCCCATGGGAAGGCTAACACCTTTGCAACTCTCCGAAATGTCCGGGAATGAAACCATAACTAGTCTTATACAAATGTACGTAAAAAAAAACAAGCTTGAAAATAAAATGTTAAATTCCTGATTTAATTGAAGAAGATTCTCTGCACATTTTGAAATAAATGCATTCTAATTTTTGTATTAAAACTTATACCCATCCAAACACAAATGTAGGATGTTCTGTGCTTTCTTCTCTAGAAGCGTGGCATTATTTTTCAGTGGCTCTCCTTGACTCTAAAATGGTGATTTATTTAGATCCGAAGCTGCTTGCTGACATTATCAGCTTCCATGTTTTATGACTGAGTTTCACTGTAACAGAACAGACAAACTGGTGGAGTGGGAACATTTTGTTGAGGAAGAAAAAGATTGGTGGGGCTTTATAAATAAAGATAGGAGCAGAATAGAGAGTAAGTACGGGAAGGCAGCTACGATGCTCAGTGTGGAAAAAGAGATGTAATGGGCATTTAAGTCATTTTAGACTTAATGAGTAATATAAGCCCTGTGGCAACTATCCGTTGATATGGAATGTCCACCGGTCTACTCTACATAGGACTAACACTGGATTTACCCAATGGTCTTATGGAAACTGCCTTTAGTAGGCAGCCATGGAATCTGTTTTCGTTGTGAAGCACAGGAAAAATATTTCTCTCCTCCTCCTCCACCCATTCCATACTTCACAACTAGTTTTGTATTTCTGTTGTTTGGGGTAGACAAAAGGTAGATCACCAGGCATCCGGGCTTCAGAAACTCCTGCCTAGTTGGCAGGAATGCTGGGATCTTCAAAGTTTATGGAGATCTACTTTCTGTGCACCCTCATGACAGAGTGAACAAAACAAAAGAAAAACCTGTTTGCCAGCCTTGATAAGGAAGAAATACTCTGAGGATGAGCCGTTTTGCATCCGAAATCCATTTAAAGCCTAGCCCCATCATGACTACAAGTATAAAATGAACTACCTGATCCTAAATACAGGAACTTGTAAGTAAGCTTAATTCTGCTGTAGAAATGGATAATTAGTTAGTTAATTTATTTATAAAATTTGTGTGCTGTCCAATTACTTACATCTCTGGATGGCTTACAACATAAAGTGATAATCCACACTGGCTGCAAATTAATAAAGTACAACAATAAAATTCAATATTAAAACACATTAAAATATTGATTAAATAAAAAGGTCTTGACCTGGTGCCGAAGAAAGATATAATGACGGTACCAGGCGGACCTCTCTGGGGAGCACATTCCATAATTAATATCATAAAACAGTAAAATGAACATCTGTAACAATGTACGTATACAGTTGGCCACTCCTTAACTCAACAATATTTCAAAATAAGAGGGATGCCGCAGCAAGCTACCTCGGCCCAGGTGACCATGCCACACCAATTTCAGTCCAAAGGCAGAGATGCTGCCTGTTTTCCTCTGCCCCCAGTTACCCCACTGCTTTCTGAATGATCATTTGGAATAGCAGGCAGGGCTTCAGCTACCTTAAATGTCAGCCCTAGGTCCAGCCCAAGCTAACCTATTGCTGAGAGGCACTTAGCCAATTTCTGGATAATTTTTTAAAAATACTTGTTTGAAGGGGATAGAAATAGTTGAACTGTATCAGAATCAACACAGAAGATCTATGTGCTTTAATTAGTGATAGTTAACATAATTTGAGTAGTGTTTACAGGGAGAGCCTGTGAAACCACAATAAGTAGATAATATGCTAATATTATAATATGCTAATCCACCAGCTGCGCCCCTATCTGGAGTATGACTGCCTCGCAACAGTGACACATGCATTGGTGACTTCCCGTCTCGACTTCTGTAACGCGCTCTACGTGGGGCTACCCTTGAAGACGGTCCGGATACTTCAACTGGTTCAAAACAGAGCTGCCAGGCTGCTGACGGGGACTGGGCGTTGTGTTCACATGACTCCAGTTCTCCGTCAGCTTCACTGGCTTCCCATTGAAGTCCGGGCCCAATTCAAGGTGTTGGTGATGACCTATAAAGCCCTAAACGGTTTGGGTCCTGGTTACCTGAAGGAGCGCTTGCATCCATATATGCCCAGCCGCCCCTTGAGATCGGCGGGGGAGGCCCTTCTCCGGGAACCCTCCATGAAAGAAATTAGGAGGGTGGGTACTCGGAGGAGGGCTTTCTCTGCGGTGGCGCCTAAGTTATGGAACGCGCTCCCCAGAGAGGTCCGCCTGGCGCCGTCGTTATTTGTTTTTCGGCGCCAGGCGAAGACCTTTTTATTCAAGTGGCATTTTAACTGTTAACATTATTGGTTTTATCTGGCCAGGGCGGCTTATTTTATACTGTATTGCTGTATTTTAATTTTATATTTATATTTTAATTTATATTATAATTATTTTAATTTATTGATGTGAGCCGCCCCAAGGCTTCGGCGAATGGGGCGGCATAAAAATGATTTAATAAATAAATAATAAATATTGCATAATGGGGACTGCAGGTGGCGCAGTGGGTTAAACCGCTGTGCTGGTTGACCGAAAGGTCGCTGGTTCAAATCTGCACAACGGGGTGAGTTCCCGTTGCTCCGTCGCAGCTCCTGCCGACCTTGCAGTTCAAAAGCATGCAAATGCAAGTAGATAAAAAGGTACCACTTTGGTGGGCAGGTAACACCGGCCACATGACCACAGAGACCGTCTGCGGACAAACGCTGGCTCCCTTGGCTAGGAAATGGGGATGAGCACCGCCCCCGAGAGTCAGGCATGACTGGACTTAATGTCCAGGGGAAACCTTTACCTCTGAACAAAAAGATTATAAATGGGCATTTTTGTCACAGACCAATCAGAGTTTTGATACACACACAAATTCAAGTGCTGGGTTATTTTATTTATTTACTAATGTTTCTATACTGCCTTATTTGCTAAAAAGCCATCCAGGCATTGCACAATTGAAATGGATAAAACTTGCAACAGTAAAAAGGAAACATTAATAAAGATTAGAACTGCAGTTTTAAAATGTTACTTTGAGAGGATACATCTGTACACCCTTTTATTGGCCAATGGGGCAGAGTCTATTGTAGTGCTTGAGAGAGGATCAGGCCAACACGACGGAAAACCATGTGTGTCCAACAGAAGGGTCTCTGTGGGGAATGGCCCCCTTCACAGGGTTTCTCTTGCCATTCTTAATACTGTGGCAAATTTAGGCAAACTGTCCCTTAGATAACTAAGCCCTAAGCTGTTTAGGGCTTTAAAAGTTAATACCAATATTATTATTACCAGTGCTTTCTTTTGTAAAAAAAAAAAAAAAAAAAAGGTGCCGGAACGCACATCTTGGGGTCACACTTTTACACAATGGTCGCCACTGGCAGTAAGCACTCAGCGCGCGACCCCACGACCGATGCCAAGCCAAGCAGCGTCCCAAGCCGAGCAGCGCCCTCACAATCGCCAACACACAAGCAGCCCCGCAGGCACTATGTTAATGATTTCTGCTGCCGATCTGCTATGCCCAACAGGGAGATTCACAATCACTTGGAAAAATCCATCAAAAAAAAGGTGCTGGAACACTGTTCCAATGCGTTCGATGACAAAAAAAGCCCTGATTATTACTATTATTACAGTAAATATATACTCCAGCTTTTTTCTTCTTGCAACATGGCTTACAATTTTCTCCCTTTTCTCATTTTATCCTCACAATTACCACAGTGTGAGTTAAGCGAGGCTGAGAGTTATCCAGCCAGCCAGCCTCATGGCAGACTGGGAGTTAGAGCCTGGATCTTTCAGATCCCCAGCCCAACATTTAAACCATCATGCCGCACATGAATTGTAGCAGGAATGTAACCAGCACAGATGTAATCAGGTCCCAGACTCATTAGCAGTCTAGCTGCCACATTTTGCCCCTGTTGCAGTTCCTGGACACTTTTAAGAGATAGGACCAAATAGAGTGTATTGCAATATTCTAAATCCAATGAAACCAAAGAGTGGGTAACTGTTGCCCAGTCAGCTTCTGGAAAGGCTGTGAGCTGCTTGTGCAACAATTTTGTAAATACATTTGCCACTGCCACCACCTACAGTTCCAGGAATACACTGGGATCAAAGACCACTCAGCAGTTATGAACCTGATTCTTCAAGGAAGACAACACCTAGAGCAGTATGAAATCCCAGCCCTGGGTCAGGATTTCTGCTGACCCACAGCATCTCTCTCTTTCTTGGGTTTAGCCTCATTCAGACTAAAATCAGATACAACCTAGGCTATTTTACTGATTTCCTCATATGCAAATATCTGCAGATTTAAAGGATTAATCAGTAATTTACTCAAATTTATGATGATTCAACCATTTCTTGAATGGGTGATCACTCACTGGGAATACAGATTTCCTTTCAAATGAATCCACCATCTACGCCAGGGGACCTCAAAACTTTTTCAACAGGGGGCCAGTGGAAAGGCGGCTGGCATGGGCGCGCTGCGGGGGGAGAAGGGCACGATCGCGGGTACACTCACGAGGGAGACGTGTGTGATCGTGGGCGTGAGCAAGTCCAAAACCTCTGAGGCGAGCTGGATTCAGCCCACGGGCCATAGTTTGAGGACCCATGATCCACGCTAAAGAGCCTCAAGACCACAATGCAGCCTGTAGGGCGCATACTGACCTCTCATTATAGCAGCCTTTCCAAACAAATACGCTCCCTCAGACACCATGCCAAACCATTGATAAGAACACTTTTTGGTAATTTAATATCTGAACCAGCCAGCAAACCAGTCAGAAACCTAGTCTGAAATATTAGCACCCATGGTTTGCCAAGCTAAGTATAATTTCACATGATATCTGATGTGACCTCCTGTAGCGGGAGTCATTCCTCCACTTCTGGTAGAAGTAGCACTGAGTAGAGGAAAATGAAAGCAGACAAGCCATGGGAAACCATGGCTTGCTTGTTTGCTTAGAAGTTCTCAACCCATGGTTTGAGCTGTAAAATTTGATTGATGACAACCACGGTTTGACATGATGTCTGCCTGAATGAAGACGATGTTTTGTCCACCACAGCAATCGATAATGTTCAGAGATGTTCAAGAAATAACCCTAGTTACAAGGTAAGCTGCTTATAAACATTGCAAAAGTATAGATAATGGAGGGGGGGAGTACACACGGGACAGACTTTTTTTAACATTAGCACTGCAAGATGGTTATTTTCCTTCGCTTAAGAGATATTGTTTGCTAATGTTGTTAC